TGATGTTGCGCAGCCAGAGCACCGAACCCAGGCTCTTTGCACGCTGCTTTTCCGCAAGTGCTGGCCTCCCTGTCGCTTCTGTGTCGACCATACACAGGCGAACCCCTATATAGCAAGACGTAGGCCGAGCGAGCGAGCACCAATGAATAGGCCCAATAGAGTTCTAACTTCATGCGGAGGCCCAGCAATAATTAAAGAGAAGCCTTGCTCTGGAGCGGCTCTCATGCAGGATCTAGTGCCATGATGGCTGCAAAGACGACAGCCCCCACACACGGAACCGACATAGCGTTTCCTGCCGCAAAAAGTCCCTGATTGTGGGAAAGGATCTCGTGAGCGACTCGGGGTGCCATGGAAAGCCTGGAGTGAGACGCTTCGACCGGAAGGCCATGCGTTGCGAGGGCCTCCGGCGGCAGAAGGACTCGCTTTGCGATCCGACTGTAGAGTCGGGTCGACGTCAGCAACGTCGGCAGAGCGCCGCCGGGCTTGCCCCCCCTAGCTCTTTTCTCAGGGCACTGGGATAGATCCATGACCTCGAAATGCGGATGGCTCTTCTGATAGCCCCGGAGATGCCCGGCCTCCAGTTCAGAATGGAAATATATTTATAATTATTACTCACATCCTGGTGCTCGACTTGAAAACTGCTCCCACCTCGTGCTTGCTGAGAGACTGCTGCCGGATAGTATCCTTGCACCACCAGAAGTCCCGTAATGTATGCTTCGGATTGTGAAAGGCCCGAAGATTTTCCACAAAAGTGGAGAGGCTCGGTGCATTGGAATTCCAGACTGCCCGATCCTAATATTTGCAACATGAAGCGGCAAGGCGGCACATGTTGGAGTGAAGTGTACAGAATTTCACGAGCTGAATTGCAGTCTGAACTCGGTTCTCCAGGCAATCACATACTTTCTGGTGCGAACGGCCAAGAAGCCCAGCAGCCGCGGGTCTATCACGATGGCCTGCATCTTCCATGGCACCTTGGTCTTTCGCTTAAGGTGTCGGAGAAGTGCCTGCTCATCGTACTCTGCAACGTTCTCAATGATGGCCACGTCATGGGTGAGGGAGATGATGTCCGCCAAGCGCCTGTGCGTGCTGTAAAGGGGATCGCCTTTTCCTTTGCGTTTGCCAAAGACGGAGAACATCGTACACGGAGGGCCCGCGACAGCGATTTTGAGACCTTACAGATCATGCGTGACTTCGTCCGAAACAAGGGGCAGAAAAAA